TTATTGTCCATGTTACAGTTTTGTCCTGGCACAGATTGGACACTCAGCTGTCAGATCAAGGGACCTCTCTCTGACAACATACTCCTGTTACCCAGCATACAGTACAAATTTATTTATGTGATTTTGTTTGTGGGTCTGCCAGTTAGTCAGCCTCTTTGGTCCAGACAAAAAATATTTTCAACAACTATTAGATAGGTTGCATCTAACATTCTGTGGTCCCTACAGGGTTGAATCCTACAGACATTTGTTCTAGAGCCAGCAGCAGGTTGACATTTGTGAGTTTTGTGAGACAACTGTTGGATGGATTACTGTAATGTTTGGAACACACACTCATGTCCACCTCGTTGAACTGTAATCACTTTGATGATTCTAGCATCATCATCAGATAAAGGTTTTACCAAATACTTTGGTTTATGACCAAATGCCTGCAGTACTAATGACTGTTCCATCATCCTCCATCCTTTGCAAATGTGTAAATGTCAGCATGGTGAACCCAGTAAACATTATACCTGCTTATGTTTGCATTGTTATGTTGAACAGTTTGCATGCTGGCATTTAATAAAATCATGCAAGAATCCATCTTGCCAGGCTTCATGCTACGCGCTTGTGTCCACACTGGTTTGGATCAGTCAGAGCCCTTGGACTCCTGGCAGCTATTACATGTGTAATAAAGTTATAAACTCTGGGTTGCTGGCTTGGTAGCTCCTTTAAGAACACAGACTCTGAGAGAGAGAGAGAGTAGGCACGGAGAGTTCAATCCAGCTAAACTTTAATGATCACTCGTTGGGGAAATACAGGCCATGGATGTGTGGGTATGAATGTGTGCGTCCAACAAGTGCTCTTTAAAGTTTATTGGGATTGAAGTGGGCTGGTGGACGTCTTCAGGCGCACTGACATGTCTGTGATGTCATAATGCTCCAACCCCATGTTGTCCTCAAGGTGACTTATCAATCTGGCATGTGATAAACTCTCCTTGCAGAGTATTTTTTTATTGAAGAAGAGCAAAGAACAGCTGGCTTCAGGAAGAGTTTGACTAGTTGTACTGCATGGTTATATGTATAGGTATGGTTCATTCTGATTGGTTGAAATTCGCCTGTGATAGATGGCAATAGACAGATGGTTCTTCCAATCACCTGACAAGTATTTTTTGAAAGGGCCTGCCCTTTTTCAAACTGTTTTTCCAGATGGTTCTGTTTAACAAACCATCTGACGCAGACAGGTTAGCTGATGTTAGCTCAAAGCTGCACTGTGCCTAGCACTGCATTTGTTCCATACATGTAGATGGGAAGAACACAAAAATTCTTTAGTCATTTAGTTAGTTTAGTTTTAGTATTTATACCCATGCCCCATGAGTTTATATTTATGAGTTTACCCATACACAACGAAGGAAAAGTAGTGTTGGATGGTTACCTTAATTGATTATCTTCTGGTCACATCATTTAAATAGCCTAAATTAGCTACTTTTGCTGTGTTGCCTATTTGGTATGGAACCAGATAGAAAGTATAGGCCTTTTTAAATGGACTGGATGTATTGTATAGTGTTAATATGGGACTATATGCAACTGCCAGTAACAGACATTTTGTAGCCATTTTACCAGTTTGGTTCTTTCTATATATAAAAAACAAACAAATGAATAAATATAATGATAAATTCTTAGTCAAATTCTTTTCTCTTTACACTCTGTACTTCCTTCAGGTGCCATTATTCATAAACATGTCTTACTTCATACTTACTATAAAAATAAATGAGACCAGGCTCTATAGATTGTATCAGGTGTGATGACAGTAATAATGTTGACATTACAGCCAAAAACATTCCTGTCTGTAGTATTAACAGTATTATTGCTATCAGGATCTCATAGTGTTGTAATTATTTTCATTTGTGACTAGATGGCAGCAAAAGCCATCCGTTTAACAACAGAATGTTTCTCTTTTGGTCTTCTTCCACTTCATCCCCCTCTATCATCCCTCTCAAGTCAGATTCTTTTGAATATTTACTTTCATTTTAAATGTGTCTCATATCAGTCTCCAGTGTGAACAGGTCACCATACGATTCGACCTCTCACATAAGTGTCACCCTGAATACTTCAGAGGTCTAACACCTCACTGTCCCTCCACTGACTACCTCCATCACCACTGAGTGACATAAAAGTCACATGAATTCAGATAGGACTGTTCACAGCGTTGGCACTTGAATGGTTTCTCCCTGCTGTGGAAACGTTGGTGTTGTCTAAAAGAAGCAGCAGAACTGAAAGTACTCTTACATTTGGGGTACAACTTCTTTCCGGCGTGAATGAATGCGTGTTCTCTGTATGCAGACAGAGCACTGAAGGTCTTCCCGTAGTGATCGCAGCTGTATGGTTTCTCTCTGTTGCAAACCCAATGGTACAGAACCAAATCAAAGAAACCTTGGACAGCTATAAAGTGAGTTTTGGAGCTACAGTACATCAGTGAGGATGAGAATTGTAGCGATTCACCACATTTCTTACCATTGGAGAAATGAGTTCTGACTAACAGCCCTGTGTATACGGGCATGTTGATGGTTCCTGTGTATGATCACTTTACCTCCCTGATAAAGACTGCTTTTGAGGTCCTTGAGTCAGTAAACAGAGATATTGTGACACCTTGTGGCCATATATAGTATGACAGAACACTGAGTCATGCTGCCTTTACACAGCCTCGCATTTATTCTGCATTGCTCAGACACATTTAATGAAAATGGATCTTCACCTTTTTAGAACAGTAAAGTCTTCTTTTGCAAACACACAAACGGCACTGGCATACAGCACAAATGAAGGTTAAGCAGTTCATACTGATAGCTGTATTTAGTTTATTGTGTATTGACTGATTGACAGAATCTAACCATTTTACAAGTTGTGTTGTTTAATGTTTGCTTTTGTTGCATGTCTTTAATGTTTTAGAGCTTTTTGAAAACAAAATGCGTCATTTTGGCCAGCGGTGTTCAGTCTAGCCCTGTGTGAGAACGGTTGAAAATAAAATTCCTTTATGACAATAGAGCTTTGCTCCATCAGTAACTGTAAACACACAATGTTGGCCCTGTTTTTGCTTTCTTTGTCAGTTCTTTCTCTACATATTCAGCTGTATTATATTTCAACCACAAATTCAGTTTCTTGATTTTCATCATTCAATATGGAAACCGGCTTCCTGATGACAGTGAACAAACATCGTAAAGAGATTGCGTTTGTTGCGCTCTTCTTTTTCTTCTCCTGTGAGGTCTTACAGCAGTTAACAATTGCATCAAACTTACTTTTATTGGACTTATATTATTTAGGAATTATGCATGACTGATTTTTATTGAATTAAACTTTTAAAATCTCTCATCCCCGCCCTCCAGTACCCCAAACCAATTGAGAAACCCTGCCCTAGAGTACGCTTACCCTTTTAAAAAGGATTTGGCCGCTGTGTAACTTTTGCATACACAAAATGCATTAATAAAAAAAACAAAAAAGGTCTGGAGTCTGTTTGTTGTCCCAATCCTTTTATTGCAGCAACAGATCATTTACAGAAAACCGTGACACTTCAATCTCCCTTTCACAATTCATCTTTACTTCACAATAACTTAATCACGTCGTCTACAGGACAGAATCCATCTGCAGACAACACTGAGGCAGTTTTTAACCAACAACTTTATTCCCCCACACTGTAAGTTAACAACTGCATCCTCCTTTGTCTGTCCAACATCACAATCTATTCCAGCATGTACATGACTTCTAATCAAAGATTAGTGATGAAAAACATAAAAATCTGTTTCACCGGGTACCGCAGTGGTCTGCAGTTTAAATTTTATTGCTCTTCCTTTTGTATTTTTAGAGGATAAGTGTGTCCTGAAGTAGCGCAGCCCCTTAAACCTGCATGTCACAAACAGCTTATGGCTTTGTAAAAAGCTTTTAAAGCATTTTCAGAAAATTCGTTTTTTTATTTTATTTCTCCAAGTCCTTTTAAAAAAATGTTCCTTTTAAAAATCTAGAGCTCTCTCTGTAAAGACTGTAATCTTCAATGTTAAAAAGGTTTTTCAGTTCACATTGACTTACAAAGTGTTAGGAAGTAGAAAAAAAACAGCTAGTGTTACAGAAAAGAAAAGACAAGACATCCTAAAAAAAAGGACCACTGCACACCACTGGAATGTGTTGCATCCCTAAAGACAATCTGGTAGTTACAGTATGTGAAGACACACAGTGGGACTGTGACACCAAAGGATATTAAAAAAAACAGGAATGTTTTACTTTTTTGACTTATAGTAGTGTAAGTAATCCTACGACATCAGATCTAATTATTGTTTATTGTCAGTATCACAACAGAAGTGTGTTATCCACAGTGCTGCACCCGAAGCTATCTTAGTGTCACAGTTATATCTCATAATACAACAGGGACACAGACCTGGCCATCACCTTCAAAATAAGATACAAAACGCTCTCATTTGGCGTTCTTTATTCCACAATTTTAGCCTGGAATGGAATGATGTGTAAGATGTTCGATCTTTTGGGCCTGCAGGAGCCCTCCTACCACAGATCAATTAAAAAACACACCTAGTGTCAAAAAGAAAAGGGAACAGTGACTAAAGAAATATCACAGAATTTCCCTTTAAAGTAAATTAAACACACAGCAAAGTTTCGCCATTTTAACGGGTGTCGGTCAGCGAGTCATGGCTGACCTCCACAGGAGTATGATGCCTGATCTATTTAACCCTCTGTGAGCCAGAGAGGGCAGAATCTGGATCACACAGGGTTAAAAGGCTTCAGTGTGAACTGTCCTGCCTGAATCAGCCCACTAGGCTGGATCCATGTATAGCTGGTATGTTCTGGGAAAGAAAATAAACAATCTTTACACCACAGTTGGACAGCTTTGAACTGTCCATGGTGTCCTGATTTACATCACAGTTTAAATTTACAGAGCTGAAGTGAAGTCACAACTCCAGTTCAAACGTATCTGATAGTCTAGTTAAGATGGTCTTGATAATCTGAAAATATGGAAAAAAACAGCTAGGCATCTACAGAACACAAACACACAGAGGTAAAGGTAGTTAGAGAACAAATCAGAAGGAAACAAACGTCTCACACACTACATCCTGATATCTACGGCTCACAGAAAGGATTAGAGATTAAGATCTGTCAACACACAAAAAACACACTCATCATGGGGGACATAGGGAATACATCCACTCACTCACACACACGCACACACACACACACACACACACACACACTCACTCACACACACGCACACGCACAC